GGTTGTCTATTGGACTTTGCAAGGGAACCTTGAACCCAAAAAAAGGGCAACGCGCACCACTGGGCTACCCAAAGGGAAAGAGGAACTGAAGCTTCCTTTGACTAGGCCCAGGAGCTACCCTAGGAATGATAAAAGGGTGCCCTTTCTGGTCGAAACGGGCTTAGACGGGAACCCTAAACCCGAAAAAAGGGGAAAAAGGGCCCACGAAACCCGAAAAATAAAATGCGCCCTAAACCCTAAACCCTAGTTCCTAAACCCTAAACCCTAGTTCCTAAACCCTAAACCCCAATGCAGTCCTAAACCCCACACCCTAAACCCTAAACCCTAAACCCTAAACCCTAAACCCTAAACCCTAAACCCTAAACCCTAAACCCTAACCCCTAAACCCTAAACCCTAAACCCTAAACCCTAAACCCTAAACCCTAAACCCTAAACCCTAAACCCTAAACCCTAAACCCTAGCCCTAAACCCTAATGCCGTCCGAAGTTCGCCCTTCGCTTTCCGAGGGGCGTTTTTGCCCCTTCCAGGCCGCCACGCTTTGAGACAGATGAAGCTGCGGTAGGGTTTAGAGTTTAGGGTTTAGGGTTTGGGGTTTGGGGCGCTTTGGTGCCTTCATTTCTCGTTTTGGTTTAGGGTTTAGGGTTTCGGGTTTAGGGTTTAGGGTTTAGGGTTTAGGGTTTAGGGTTTAGGGTTTAGGGTTTAGGGTTTAGGGTTTAGGGTTAAGGTTTAGGGTTTAGGGTTTAGGGTTTAGGGTTTAGGGTTTAGGGTTTAGGGTTTAGGGTTTAGGGTTTAGGGTTTTAGGTTTAGGGTTTTAGGGTTTAGGGTTTAGGATTTAGGATTTAGGGTTGAGGGCATCCGAGGTCCGAGGCCCTGAACCCCCTTGCGTCTCGCGACTCATCACCTTCCACAACAAACCTGAACCCCCCAAACCCCTGTACGGTTTAGGGTTTAGAATTTAGGGTTTAGGGTTTGGGGTTTGGGGTTTGGGGTTTGGGGTTTGGGGTTTGGGGTTTAGGGCTTAGGGTTTAGGGACCCTGAAAGCAAACCCCTAAAGAGCCCACAACCCTACACCTACACCCCCCTAAAACCTAAACTCCAACCCCTAAACCCTCAAGCCCCTGGAACTTGAAATTCTCCAAAACACAAACTCCTGAACCCTAAACCCTAAGCTCCTGAACCCTAAGCCCTAAATCCTAAACCCGAAGTATTGGGGCTTCAGGGTTTGGGGCTATATTTGTGCGCCAAGCTCACACTCAACACAACTACCCTAAACCCTAAACCCTAAACCCGAAACCCTAAACCCTAAACCCTAAACTCCTAAGTGCAGGTATTTAGAAGCTTGTGAAATCTTCTAGTTGTCTCCCACCGTTGGAGACTGGGCTGCGACTGGAATCGGCGTCTCGCGCCCAGCGAACTTGTGCCCCAGAGACAAGAAAACCCTAAACCCCAAACCCCAAACCCTAAACCCTAAACCCTAAACCCTAAACCCTAAACCCTAAACCCGAACCCCTAAAACCCTTGAGCTCCCCCGCAGCGGCCCCCAAAATCCATCGCACCCTGTTTTGGGGTTGGCTACTTTGTAAGGGAACCTTGAACCCAAAATGGGATACTGCGCACCACCTGGGCGACCAAAAGGTGGGGTTTGGGTTTCGTTTCTGATTGCGGGGTTCTAGCCCTAACCCCTAAACCCTAAACCCTAAGCCCTAAGCCCTAGACCCTAAACCCTAAACCCTAACCCTCAGTCGCTAGGCATCTCAAGCAGAGCCTTTGATGCTCTTCCTTCTCCGGGAGGAAGAAATTCTCTTTTCCTGGCAGGCTTCGGGTCTTCGACCCCTAAACCCTAAACCTAAACCCTAAACCCTAAACCCTGATACCCTGATACCCTAATACCCTAAACCCTGAACCCTGAACCCGAATACCCTAAGACAAGTACACCCGATTCGGGTTCCCCGAAGAAGGGGGGCCTCTATACATTAGGGTTTAGGGTTTGGGGTTTGGGGTTCTAGGGTTTGGGGTTTTAGGGTTTAGGGTTTGGGCTTTACGGTCTCTAGTTTTTTTAGGTGTTCCTCAAAAAGGGACCACACTACACGGAAGGCCCCATCTTGCATCCTAGCACGTCCTTGCATCCCCACCGCACTGGCACGCGTGACACATGGTTTGAAGGTTCGAGGGTTGAGGGGCGAAGGTTAATGATGCAGGCTAACCCTAAAGGCTGTCAGCGAGGAAATGGCCTTGGCTATCTCTTAGTCTTACCCCTCCCGAAACCCTATACAACACCTTGACGCTTAAGTCCTGCATCCTTCCCCCCTTCCCCGCCCCTCCCCATGGGTTTAGCGGTTAGGCCGGGGTTAGGGCCGTTTGGGGTCTAGGGTTTAGGATTTAGGGTTTAGGGTTTGGGGTTTCGGGGGACCCTAAACCCTAAACCCTAAACCCTAAACCCTGAACCCAAAAAAGAAGGCAGCGCGAGCCGGCGGGGCCGGCTGGTGCGGCGTAGAGTTCGGGACAGAGGTTCAAATTCTCTGCCTGCCCAAAGGGGCTTGGTTTAGGGTTTCGGGTTTAGGGTTTAGGGTTTAGGGTTTAGATTTAGGCTTTTAGGGTTTAGGGTTTAGGGTTTAGGGTTTAGGGTTTAGGGTTTAGGGTTTAGGGTTTAGGGTTTAGGGTTTAGGGCTTAGGGCTTAGGGTTTAGGGTTTAGGGTTTAGGGTTTGGGGTTTAGGGTTTAGGGTTTGGGGTTTAGGGTTTAGGGTTTGGGTTTAGGGTTTAGGGTTTAGGGTTTAGGGTTTAGGTTTAGGGTTTAGGGTTTAGGGTTTAGGGTTTAGGGTTTAGGGTTTAGGGTTTAGGGTTTAGGGTTTAGGGTTTAGGGTTTAGGGTTTAGGGTTTAGGGCTTAGGGCTTAGGGCTTAGGGCTTAGGGCTTAGGGCTTAGGGTTTAGAATTCAAAATTTAGGGTTTAGGGTTTAGGGTTTCGGGTTTAGGGCTTAAGGCTTAGGATTCTGGGTTTAGGGTTTAGGGTTTAGGGTTTAGGGTTTAGGGTCTAGGGTCTAGGGTTTAGGGTTTAGGGTTTAGGGGTTGATAAGTTTAGAGGTTTAGGTGTTTAGGGTTTAGGAGTTTAGGGGTTAGGGTTGAGGGGTCTAGGAGCATAGGGCTTAGGGGTTTAGGGTTGAGGGTTTAGGGTTCAAATTCTCTGCCTGCCCAAAGAGGCTTGGGGGGCCTTAGGGCTTCGGGCTTTGGGGCGGCTTTTGGGGTTTAGGGCTCAGGGTTTAGGGTTTAGGGTTTTGGGGTTTAGGGTTTAGGGTTTAGGGCTAGGGTTTGGGGTTCTGGGGGCCGGGCCAACGCCGGGGCTGTTTGACGAGTACGGGGTGTTTAGGGGTTTTGGGGTTTAGGGGTTTAGGGGTTGGCTTAGGGGCTTAGGGGTTTAGGGGCTTAGGGGTTTAGGGGCTTCTTTGCGTCAGGTTTTAGGAGGTCCGGCGCATTTGGAGTTCAGAGGGGTGTTGGGTTTAGGGCTCCTGAACCTTGCATCCCAACTCTCAACCCTAAACCCTAAACCCTAAACCCTAAACCCCAAAGCCTGAGCTCTAAACCCCAAGCTTTTGGACCCCCAGCCTCAAACCCTCAACCCGATTACGCCCGAAAGCCCTCAACCCGAAACCCTAAACTCACCGAGAGTTGGCAACCCTAACCCTAAACCCTGAACCCTAAACCCTAAACCCTAAACCCCAACCCTAAACCCTAAACCCTAAACCCTAAACCCCAAACCCCAAACTAAACCCTAAACCCTAAACCCTCTACGCCTCAAAGGATCGCATCAACGCGTGGAGCCCGGCGTCGTCGTAGCGGATGGCGGGGGACGCCACCATGACTGCACAGGTGGCGTTTTAGGTTTTGTTTTTCCTTCTGAAAAAAAGGGGTTTTGGGTTTTTGTTTGAGGGTGTTAGGGCTTATTCCGGTTTTTGGGGGGTTTTTTAAAGAGGTTTTGGGTTTTTTCAAGGGTTTTGGAAGGGTTGTTGGGGGCTTTGGGAGATTTTTTTGGTGATAGTAATATTCAGAGCGTACATTCACCTCACCTATCGCCAAACAAGTTCTGGTTTCCTAATGTGAAAATAAAGGGCAACCCATGAGGCGTGGATGGTGCGCCCACAAGCCCGTATAAAATCCGTAAATTTACCTGTGTTTAATGATTTGTCTTTCTTCTGATCGTTCTTGCTACATCATGTATTACTACTTTGATCCTAATTTCTGTATTTTACAAGGAAACCAAAAGGCAGGAATGTTGTCCACTTAGTCATGGAAGATCAAATTACTGTTGCTATCACGCACTACACGCAAGTTCTTTTGCCGTGCACGCAAAGCCCACATGTTAACTGCGATGTAGTCCCTGTCATCGTGCTTTGTGCCGACCACTACTTCTGAGGGCGGCACAGGCAACAGGACATGTTAGCTGCTAAATTCGGGTGGCTCTTCGTTCCTTGCCATTCAATATCAAAAAACACACATGGTCGTTTAGTATGCTTAGCCGACCCTACTTAAAGATCTTGTTGTTGGCCCGTGTTGCGTTCACTTGTTCATGCGTCTCATAAATGGAATCACTTAGTTCTCTACACAACATTAACGAACAGGAGTGAAGAAGATAAGAATACCAATATGCCCGTCCTGGAAGAGAATAATTTAAAAGACAGGAACCATTAATAAGACCAACAGACCCCATCATCAAGGTCTCAATGGTTGGTTGCATGTGAAACTCACGGTCTTAGATCTATTATTAGTACTACCTGGACGTGAGGCAAAAGACTCCAGATGTTGAATCATTCGATATCAGTACCCTAAACCCTAAACCCTAAACCCTAAACCCTAAACCCTAAACCCTAAACCCTGTTGAAGACATGAGGGAAGGCACTTCTACGTGTGGAAGCCGAGGCTATTCTAACACGATGTCGGCGTGAATCATTTTGGGAATCCTATGGGCATGCTGCATTGTAAAACGCACACCCTTCCTCATCCTTGGCCCTAGCTTGTCTCTGATGCTTCAGGAGATGCAGTGGCGTGGGAAGGCTGCGGAGTCAGAGCCCAGCTTGGAGGGTCCCAACCAAAACCCAGCCAGAATATGGCCCCGCCGGCAATGCAAGCTCCTGACTGCCACAGTGTCAGCCCCTTCGGCCCCACGTTAATCATAGACTGGGTGGCCATTGCGGAGAGAAGGCTTGGGGGAATGCTTTGTGCTAAGATCTCGAACGATGCCGCCATGCCAGCACAGTCTTCCAGAGGTTCAAAAAACAGGACGTTGGTGGAAGCCCAGGCCATCATCAGCACGCTCGCCTGCAGAAAGGAGCCAACCAGGTAGCACCATAAATGATCGGAGAAGAAGAGGCCGAGAACCAACGAGATGATCCCAGAGAGAGCCAGAAGCGACAAAGTAACTTGACCCAAGCGGCGGACACTACCTAGCTGAACTCGCTCGATCGACACGCCGCCAAGTCCACACAAAGCGCCAAACAGGAGCATGACGGTGGAGGTTGCCATGACAGATCGACTGAAGCTTACCTCCATCAAGTAGCTGACGTTGGCGTTAAATGTGAAATATTGCCCCAAAATGCAACTCTCAGTCAGCAGCAAGCAAAGAAGATGCGGATCCAGGATGCGCGCCACATTCTTCCAATAGCTCTCATTGCTGCCCTCGGGGCACGATTCCACCATGGCCCAAAAGGCGTATGCCGCCAGCAGCCCCCAGACAACTGCCAAGCCAAAGAAGGAGAGGCGCCAGCTGAGGTAAGCTGCGCACATTCCGCCATACCTACACTCCCCTTACAACCCTAATGAACGCATTATTTTTGTAATATCCTCTTGGGTTTATGTCAACAAAAACAAACAAAATTCCCAAGGAAGATGTAGATACAGAGGGGCGACAGCGGTACCAACAATGGCCGTCATCTGCAAAGCCGCCATGACCCTGAAGCGCTCTGTCGGGTTGGGGAAGTAGTCCCGGGCCATGGCAAACAACACTGGCTCGACTGATTCCCCCATGCCTTTAGGGTTTAGGGTTTAGGGTTTAGGGTTTAGGGTTTAGGGTTTAGGGTTTAGGGTTTAGGGTTTAGGGTTTAGGGTTTAGGGTTTAGGGTTTAGGGTTTAGGGTTTAGGGTTTAGGGTTTAGGGTGTATGGTTTAGGGTTTAGGGTTTAGGGTTTAGGGTTTAGGGTTTAGGGTTTAGGGTTTAGGGTTTAGGGTTTAGGGTTTAGGGTTTAGGGTTTAGGGTTTAGCAAATAGGAGCCTTGCAGAATGCGAGCAGCGATGAACCACTCGATCCGCCCAGCACATGCGCAGCACAAGCTAGCCAGGCTCAGCAGAACAACGCATGCCAAGACGACCGGCCGTCTGCCAATGCGGTCAGACAAGCCTGCGCTGATAAGCCCAAAGATGGACTTCACAACCAAGTTCAATTGAACCGTACCACTCATCAACGTCTGTGAGCCGGCAAGATCTGACTCCATCTGTGGCAAACTCGGCACGTACTGGTCTGTGCTAAAGTAAATGAAGGCATAGACAACTCCCATATAAATCACCCAGCTGTTTGGACACGCCTGCGGAGCGTGAGACTCCTGGGGTGCTTTGGAAGGCACACCAACCAGGCAGAAGCGACTGGAGGCCATGAAAAACCCAAGGTACACGAAGACAACGCAGTACTTGCTCATATTCTCGAGAAGGCCAGGTATCTTGACACTTTGAACATGCACGCTGCCATCTAAATGTCTCTTGATGAGGAAAAACTTCCTTTTTGGCCCAGTAACGGCATTGCAGTAAGTGTTACCCCTTTTTCGGGCTGGCTACTTGAGAAGGAGAACCTTGAACAAAGCAAAACAAAAAAAGGGGCAAGAGGGTACCACACTGGGCGACCAAGCATCTCAGCTGCATCCCATAGTGGATGAACTCCTTGGTTCTGCGGTGCCGGCATTTCTTTGGCTTGCGCGCCCGCCTTTTGCGCGCGCGGCGCCCAGCGCCGGCCCGCTGTCGCTTGAAGGAGCATGTTCCCACTGTTTTCATGGAGCCCTGGGCTGCAACCGGTGCATGCATTTCCTTGGTAGCCCAGTAGCCGTACTATAGCAAGGGCTCCCTTTTTTTTTTTTTTTTTGGGGGGGGGTTGGTTTCTATATGAGGGAAATTTGAACCCAAAAAATCGGGAAAAGGGTGCCACTGGGCTGCGAATCTTCCTTCGCATCCACCACGCCACACCAGACTCAACAGAAGAGTTTTCTGGAAAACTAACATCGCCCCACGTGCCATTCGGTATCCGCGGGCTTGAGCCTGAGCCACTTGAGTGACAGAAGAGTGCTGTTGCAGCTCATGTGAGGGTTGTTGCTTCAAGAAGCATCCGATGAACTTGTTGATCATCGATGTTTTGTTGCCGTCTCGCTGACATTCTCTTTCCTACTGCTCCCTAAACCCTAAACCCCCAATCCCTAAACCCTATGACCCCCCCCCCCCCCACCTGTCCCCCAAGGGGCCCATCATTTCGATCGACCCTATTTCAAGCTGCCGCAAACCCCCCAAAAACAGCTGCAAGGGGACACCCACCAGGCTGGTCTATGTCCGCTTCATCTGCGCTCCGTCGCTAAGGAACTCAATACATTCTAGGCAAGTACATTAATGTCTATGCACACGGTGTAGGTATAGCACATAGCTACTATAGACCGGTCACTTCTCGGTAAGCATACAAACAACAATATGCGTGTCCGCGTTTGAAACCCTAAACCCTAAACCCTAATTGCTGAGGCCCACGCTGCTGAACCGACTTCCCGTCGAGAAGCGCTCGCACTTTTTACTTGGAGGTGCCAACAGAGTTGATTAGAATCACATTAATCCGGGCTCTCAGAGCCCTCATAGCGATGCGGATCCCAGGACTCACTCAAGCTGAAGGCATCGTCCTCAAATGGTGCTTTGAGAGATTCAAGGCCTGGGATGAGCAGCTGCTGGTTCAATGCCGTGGCGGCGGGGTGGCGGTGGTAAGACTTTGAGCCCCGAGCGTCGGTTCGCACCTGCTGCATGAAGGTCTTGGAGAGGGGACGTTCCTGAAGCAGGAGGCTGGCTCACCAATGTTATCCTCATTGCTGAGGCCCACGCTGCTGAACCGACTTCCCGTCGAGAAGCGCTCGCACTTTTTACTTGGAGGTGCCAACAGAGTTGATTAGAATCACATTAATCCGGGCTCTCAGAGCCCTCATAGCGATGCGGATCCCAGGACTCACTCAAGCTGAAGGCATCGTCCTCAAATGGTGCTTTGAGAGATTCAAGGCCTGGGATGAGCAGCTGCTGGTTCAATGCCTCCCCCACCCACCCCTGCGGCTCGACGATAGAGAAGCGCCATGAGCACCAGGTGAACGATTTCCAAAGGGCGGGCTGGGAGGGAAGCTCCAGGAGCCGGCGTGGGCGGCGGACTGGGCACGAAGGACGGGTCCGTGAGGTAGGGCGGTGCTGTTGAAGGCACCACGTTGGGCCACCCCATCCAACTTTCTAGGAGCTCCACCAGTTGCAGCTCCAGCTCAGTCACTGCCAGGGAGGCATGGGAGATACCCATGCGAACTTCTTGCCACAGCTCATGGGCCACACGTCCAAGCACCAGAATCATGGCTCGACAAAGCAACCGTATGATCATGGAGGCCAAGAGGGCGACGAGCCTGGGGCATATCAGCACGAGGAGGAGAACCGCACAAGTCTTCCAAAGGCGAAGAGGACGAAGGAGCCAGGACCATACCATCTGGCGGACCTGAGGTTCCTGAGCCGCCACTGAAGTTGAACCACGTCGCGCCAGAGCGCCTCGGAGAGGGCGGGGTTCCACGGGCTGTGGGCCCTCTAAAGTGTCTGCAGCACGGACTTCACCAACATCAGGGCGTAGACCTTCCAATAAGCTAAGCATGCGACAGAGCGCCGCCGTGAAACGACGCGCGTTGGATCCACTTCTCCATCGCGAAGCTGACGCCCAGGAGGAAGCATCTGCCACCACCTCTGAAGCTGACAGACCCGGCTCAATTTCCTCAGGCCCTAGCTGGGCCGCGGCTTGCTGCAAAGCATGCCGGACTGTGGTGGCCGCCGCAGTCCTTTGACCCTCCTCTGCATCGGCTTGGGGACGCCCGGCTGCACCTGGCACCAGATCACCAACGCCTCGGCTTTGCTTTCCACCCTCCGGAGCCTTGCCCCTGATCCTGCTAGTCGGTCGCCGCGAAATCCCGCCTTGATCCATTTTCAGAACCACGTGCCGCCGCAGACCAAACTGAAGAAGAAACTGAAGAAGCCTTGGGAAAAGACGCGTGGTCCTGCCCTCAAGCACCTCCAGAGCGTCCGCCAAATTCTCGCAAAGCACGAAAAATGCGGGCAGACATAACCCTCCAGTCTACAGGTCACTGCTAAGGAGAAACTGCGCCGGCAAGTGAGGAGGCTGCTGCAAAAGATGCACAAAACGTTGGGCGCTCTCCAACTTTCGTCGACCCTCCTCAGGCGCCTGCTGTGCGATGTGGACGCTCAAAGCTTCGTGGATGTAGCTTTTTAAAGACTCCAGTGACTTCCACCTCCCCATGAACTGCAATTGTGGGATGTTCTGGTTGACGCGGTAGTGATGCGTCGCCCCCCCCGCTCTAAAAGAAGACGGCGTATACTTGCAACCCTCGAGGCTCAGACGACGCAGCGCCTCCTTCATCCGCTCTCCCCAAAGCCTGCGAGACATCGGAAAGACCAGCTGGTTTGGCCGAAGAGCTGCCGTCCACCAGGACAACCAAAGTACCACAGCAACCTCCTTAACTAATACCATCTGAGTGCGATATGTGCGACGAGTTTTTGGCTTTCGGATGAGGATCACTAAGCCCAACGCAGCCTCCCCCATAGCCACAGCCTCCGGGAAGGCCAGATCCTTCTTTCGAAGGTTCACCACCTCGCCAGGCCTCATCAAGCCCCAGAAAGCCAACCATGAAGCAAGCATGGTAGCCCACCAAATCCGCCGAGCCCAACCCGTGACCTTCTGGCCCTCGCTCAAGCACGTCAGAAGAAGCCCCTGCAGACCCACATGTGTAATTGGGACCCTGGACCTGCTGGGCATGAGAGCTCTCCAACCTCGAATTGACGCCCAGGTAGCCCTCAGCATAGCACCTGCCACATTAAGTCGACGCTGAACTCCAAGAACACCTACAGAAACCCAATAGACCTTCTCCCCCTCGTCATATGCAACCTCGATGGCTCGAGACAATGCGTAGTCAATGCTCCTGGCTGAAGACGACCTCCTCAAACGCATCCCCAACCGCGAACACAAAGCTAGAAGCCACAAAGCTGCATCCTGTAAGTTCCTCCTATAGGCCAGTGTGAGGCCTGCGTTCTGCAGGCATCCGGTCATGGCACCAGCTCACGTAGGCCTGGGCAACGGCGTCACACAAAGAGCGAGGGTAACTCCCGGCAAGTTTGGCTCGAGCACCCCGAAGCGGAGGTCCATGGCCGGGACATCCCGGGCAAGTACGTACAATGCGGCTGAACCATGGAGCCGTGGTGAGGATTCGAGTCGGCTTTTTGTATGGTAATTCTCCCTCTGCGACACTGCTATAGGCACACATGTGGAGCTCGTGCATTGTGACCCCGGCCTTCGCCCGCAACAGCTCAATCTCCCGAAAAAGCCAACCGTAGCTGCCCTTGGGGTGCTCAAGAAAGAAAGGAATCCCTGCTTTCAAAGCAAGCTCAGCCAGTGCGATGGCCCTCCTCCACAAGAGATTTCCGAGAGCCGTGCGTGGGTTGCTTGCATCCCCCTCCGGCTGGCCTTTGGTGCGAAGGGGGCCCCCGGCGCCCAAATTCGTGAGGGGCGAAAAGGAACTACACGGGGGCGACAGCCAAACCCAAGCAACAGCCCTGGTTCTAATGAGCTCAGCCCAGCACTCCTCCAGAGCGTCCTTGCCGTAGAGGAGGTCGACAGGGCCCAGCATGGCGCAGCCTGCACGTATGAAAGCTGCTGTTAGGACCGCGGTTCCTGTAAACACTTCAAGCCCTGGCAGTGCAAGTTTGTCTCCACCTACTCCAAAGCGTCGAAGCCAGCGGGGAGGATCTCGAGGGACTGGAAGCGGGGTAAACCGTGAAGGGTAGTCTCCGGGGTTCGAATGTGTTTCTATCCACAAGATGCCAAAGGAGACGTTGCCAAGAATGAGAAAAGGTAGAAGACTACGAAGGCAACCATTCAACCGAAACGAACTTGACCTGCCCTTTGCAAAAGCCCCTACACATACCCGACTGTCGTTCAAGCAAATCTTGATCATCCCGTGGTTGGCCGGGTCCGAGGCAAGGCTGGCGAGCTCCTTCTTGAGGGCGCGTGCCTCTTGCAAGTTTATATGGGAGGTTTTTCGAAAATGGTACGAGGACGCCACGTTCCAATCCAAGCACTCTCCACACACACTGGCGAAGATAGAAGGTTCCTTTGGCTCACCAACCTCGATCTCGAAGTCAGTCGTTCGGTCCAGTCGGACTGCTTCACCTCGGTGCTCCGACAGTCTCCACAGTTCACGTGCTAGAGCTTCAGGCACCTGAGCAACGACGGCCCCGCCCGAAGTCGGTGTCGCGTCCGTCGCCAAAACCTCTTCGGAGATCCACCTGCGCATGCTGGTGTAACAGAAAGGGAGGTGAAGGCCTAGGCTACGAAGCTCATCCAGCACGAAAGTTGGGAGCCGAACAACCCCACGAGGAGGCATGTCCGACATGAACTTGTAGATGTGGTGCTGCAGGCAAAACATCTCCCTCCTGTATTGAAGATGGAAAGTGATCAGCCCCACTAGCTTCTGCAAGGCTGCCTGAGCGCAGTGCCCCAGGCGCACGACTTGGCGGATGAGAGACCACACCTGCCGGCGGGCGCCCAGAGGTCCCGCAACACGCCCTTTCACACCATCGATCTCTGCTCCCCAGGCGCGAAACTGAACTTCACCCCGGAAGGCTTTATGTTCTGCCCTGCGGAGACGCGCCTCCAAGTAGGCGGCCTCTGCCGCCGCCATCCGTCGCATGTCCTCGTCCTGGGGCATCGGAAGCGGGGGTTTGAAAGAGCCATCTTGAGGGACAGGGTGATCCAGTTGGCAACGAAGAGTCACGAGCAGATCATCTAGGTAAATGCCTTCCCAGAGGTCACTCTGAGGAGCCGTCCGGCCATAGATCAAAACGGTGTCAGGCTCCAAAAGTCCGGCCCTGCGAAGTATGCTCTCATGCGTCGCTTGCGCTATAGCGCAGCCGTTGACATCACCCATCCCTAGGACGCGGAAACAAGCTCGATGGGCGATGCTGGGGTCCAAGCCTCGCTCCACAAGAAGCTCTTTGGAGACCCTTCTTCCCACACTGTTGAATCGTATCCAGGCCTCAGGGAGTCGCAGCATATAGTAGAAGTTGCGTAAATCGTCACCTGACCCTCTTACATATTCATGTGGTTTGAGTAGGAGACGACAGTAGCACGCCCCATTTGGCAGTTCGGCCCACCGAAGGCGAGGCATCGTGGCATTCTCGGGCCGCCTGTCATAGATGAGACGGTCTTCGACATCGTTTTTGCGGACACTAAAGAGGCCGCCTACTCGGATGTCGCCCTGGCCATCCCGTGGTAATTCTCCTTCAGGCACTAGCGTCACCATGTTCGTGTCAAGCAGTTTGCGAATGACCGCCTCCTCTTGGTCCAGCGGGACCCTGTGGCACGCCACCACTTTTTCCCCCCAAAGTTCCTCAGGCAGGCGCAAGCGGTCAAGGTTCTCAAACACCGCTGCACGGTCAGGCTCCAACCAATCGGCTGGATCCACTAACCCGGCCTCGGCGGGCACTGCGACCCTCTCTGCCACCACAGGAAGAGCCACGCCAGCTTCCGGCGAAACCTGGGGACCCACATCGTCATATGAGGACGTAGAGCAAGACAAAAGCTCCAGGAGCGACTGAAGGTCACCCCTCTTCCCTTCACAGCAAAGAGTATCCCTAAGCAGTTCGGGGGTACTTAAACTCACCACCTCGCCAAGTAGCCGATCAGCGAAAGACCTCATGTCCTCCATGCTTCGATGGACCACTCGCGGCTCGAAACGGCCATCCCGACACTCAGGGCAACCCAAGACCACGAAGTTGGACCAAGCCACGAACTCATTTAAGAGAGACTTGCCCCAGAACTCCGCGGCCTCATCGTCCAAGAGTGCCCCCCCACATTCGGAAAGAACCTCAGGGTAAGGAAGGACGCCCGGAAAAAGAGGCTGTTCGATGCCGGACCGCTCCGGCGTAGTACCTTGGGCACCTTGAAACCACGTATAGTATCTCTGAAATTTCGAATTCCGCCCTGGCATCAGCAACGGAGCTGTACACTCACCAACGCCAGTTCCATGCAGCCTCGAGGGTGTTTGCTTCACTTCTTTCGCCGGTCTCCGGCGCCGGCCTCGTCGTCGTCCTCGTCTCCGCCCCCAGCACCTGGACCCGTCTCCTTCATCCGCTTCCTGAGCTTCGACAACGCGTCCATGTAGCCGGAGATGACCGCAAGCTCCTCCTTGGTTCCGCCGAACTCCCGCTTGGCCAAAGGATCCGGGATCCCCGTCAAAAGCCAGGCTGTCGTCCAGTCGCCCTGCTGGAGCACCGCCTGAACTTTCGCCTTCATGTTCTGCACCAGCTGGGCCACCGCCGCCTCGGAGTTGCCAGCCCTGAGGTATTCGTAAGCCTGGGCATCCATGACCGCGCATCTGAATATGCCTTTGAATCTGCCCCACGGCTGGCGACGCAGGTAATCTTTGAGTGTCCAGGCCTGCCCCGGCACGACCCCCAGCTCCTCCGTGATCTCCCTCTCGTACTCCTGGTAGATCTGTCGAGGGCACCGTTGAATGCGCCGCTGCAGCTGGTGGAGCGAAGATACTGCTCTCATCCCCTTGTCGCGCCACTCTTCCCCTTCTCCTGCGCTGTCTTCTGAGGAGTAGCCACCAAGGTAGCCGTGATCTCGCTCCCGCTGCTTGCGACGCCGCTGCCGCTGCTTCTTGTCTTCCATGTAGTTCAAGAGGAGCAAAGGCATCAAGTCTCCTGCGCTGCGTCCTTGCGCCAAGCTTAAGGCCATCATCTTCTGCAAGTCCAGCTCCTTGCGACCTTCTTTGCGCTCCCCTTCTTCCACTCGGCGAGTTGCTCCAGCCGGGGCCCCCGGAGGAAGGAAACTTGAAGAAGCCGCGCCCCGCGACCTCACCGGAGCTGGCTCGTCCTCTTCGCTGTCGTCTGAGGCCTCCCCAAACA